TCCCACTGTCTCTCTCCCCCCAGACGATAGGTGTATTCGGGAACAGCCTGGTCCTGTTTGTGTACTGCCGACGCACAGAGGGTGGCACGGTGTCCAGGTTTATCCAGGCCCTGGCGGTGTTTGATCTTCTCAGCTGCAGTGTGGCAATCCCTGGTGAGAAGCAAAGAGATACTAACTACAACGTTCTATTTCCATGCATAATCTGCCTGCTGAGATGCAAAGAGATAATAAATCATCATCATCCAGTGTCAGATCTGCTACAGACATCGGCGATCCTGGTTTTCCGTTCATTCCTTTGCTCGGATGCTTTAAAAAAAAGCTATGTTTCCCTGATCTTTCCCTGTTGAACATTTCTTTAGGTTCCCTAAGTATGTTGTTCTGGGCCTACCCCTGCCTCGCTTGCCCTCAATTTTGCCTGTGAGAGCAAGATGTTCAAGACCCCTATGTCTATTCAGGTGTCCCAAAAACTGCATTTGTCGTTTCCTGATTGTTTTTAACATTGAGCGTCCCACGTGGGCTTCATCAACCACTACCTCATTTGATTTCTTTTCCTTCAAAGATACTCTTAGCAGTCTCCTAAGAAACCACATTTCTGTTGCTTCTATTTTATTTTCACTGTCTTTAGTGATTGTCCAGCATTCACAGCCCCATAGAAGGTTTGACCAAACATAGAATTTCAGGACTTTCATTTTGGTGTTCATTGAGATGTTTTATTTTTCAGGATTGGGCTCATTTTATTGAAACTAACCTTAGCTATTGTAGTTGTCGGTTTTATTTCTGTGGAACATTTGGCATCAGATGTTATCATATATCCGAGATATTTAAACTGTTGGACTTGTTTGATCTTTTCACCTTTGCTAATGAGATAAGAACTAGGATTTGCTGCTTTTTTGGATATTACCATGCATTCTGTTTTCTTTACATTCAACAATAATCATTTACGTTCACTTTCTGTTACAACAGTATCTAGAAGCAATTGAAGGTCCCTTTCGGAGCTTGTTATTAAAACTGTGTCATCTGCATACCTGATGTTATTAATATTTTCTCCTTTTACTTTGATACCTGAACATTCTTCTATGTTTCTAAGGATTGTTTCACTATACATGTTAAAGAGGTCTGGTGACATAACACATCCTTGCCTCACTCCTCGCCTTATCTGCTTATATTCACTGTATTCTCCATTAATTTGTACAGCAGCGTTTTGGTCCCAGTACAAATTTTGATAATTCTTAGATCTTTTCCATCTATGTCTAGCTTTTCCAGTATCTTAAAAAGCTCATTATGTCTAACTTTATCGAACACCTTTGAATAATCTATGAAGCATAATTACAGATCTTTCTGGGCTTCAATTAATCTTTCCATTAACATTGTTAATGTGAATATAGCACTTCTGGTGCCCTTGTCAGGAACAAAGCTGAATTGCGTTTTTGATATCTCTAGTCTTACACTTTTTCTCAATCTTCCCATTATTACTCGCAGCAATATTTTTGTAAAATGACTCATAAAGCTAATTGTTCTATGCATATCACACTCAGTGGCACCTGGTGTTTTAGGTAAAGCTATAAAAACCGACTTTGTCGTATCTTCTGGGATCTTACTGCAGTCATAAGTAGCATTTAGGAGCTTTGTTGTCATTTCAGTGCCTATTATCTGGCCCTGTGGCCTTTCCTTGTTTCATTTTCTTAATGACAGCTTGTACTTCTGCTTTCAACATTGGTGGTCCATTTATTTCATTCTTTATTACCGGTTTTTCTCCTCTATTATCTTTGAAAAGTTCTTCTATGTATTCTGACCATCTGTTTAAGACATCCCCGTTGTCCATTAAAATATCCCCTCCCTTTGATCTTATGCATCCTGTATTTGAGCATCCTTTTATCTCACTTACTTCATTGATATTGGAACGCATGTATTTGCTGTCTTTGTTTTGGTTCTTCTCTATTTGTTGACACTGATCATTTATTCATGTTTCTTTTGCTTCGTTGCATTTTTTCTTTATTTCCCTGTTTAAGATATTGTACTTTTCCACATTTGATTTTGCCTTTCTTCTCTCTTCCATTAGTTTTAATATCTGGGTCATCCATTTTTATTAGCTTTTTTAGCTTTCGGGGGGATATTTTCTCCCTCAGCTTCCATTATAGAGTCTTTCATTTTCCTCCATAGTTCTTCCGATTTAGTAGTTTTCCAAAGCTTGAAATTTATTTCTTACATGTATGGAGAAACGTTCTTTCAGTTCTTGGTTTGTCTTTAAAAGACCTATGTCAAATTTAGGTTGATACTTTGACTTTTTGAGTTTCTTCAGTCTTATCCGCAATTTACACATGACTGGCACATAGTCACTATCACAGTCTGCTCCTGACAGTGATTTAGACGACTTTAATTGTATTTCTGAAAAGTATGAAGATAATAAATACAACGTTCTATTTACATGCATAACTTCCCTGGTGAGATGCAAAGAGACAATTTAATACAACGTTCTATTTACATGCATAACCTCCCTGGTGAGATAGAGACTGTTGTTGTCGATCCTTCCTTTGTTTTGTTTTGTTTGTGGACGTCGGTCCTGTTGTTACATTAAAGGAGTCGTCACGTGATTGCTGTTGCTGGGTTTTTTTAAAGCAAATGCATTGGTTTATTTTTTACTTAAACTAAGCTTACTTGTTATTCTTCAGTTCTCCCCCTCTCTTTTCTCTCTCTCTCTCTCTCTCTCTCTCTCTCTCTCTCTCTCTCTATCTATCTAT